TTTGTTGTTTGTTCATACAGTTTATATGATTGGAATGATATCCCAACTTTTCTATTCTCAGTTTGTAGGACAATAGTGTGTAATCTTTTATACTGCAATTCATCTTTGACATATGTTCTAACAAAATCAGATTTTGCAGATGAGACTGGCGTTGTTAATGCGTTAGAGTCAGTGTCATGGAGTAAGATTCCTGATGCTGAACTTTGTAAGCATGCTAGTCAGTTGCCCAGCTGTCAGGCTGAAGAATTGTGTGAGCAGTATGATTACAGGGGCACCAGTTGCCACTTACCAAATCCTGGTCCTGATGTTGTCAATGCACAAAGGAAAGCCGGAAAAATGCCAAGAAGTAGTAGTGGATGTTCTAAGAGAGCACGTGTTGCTCAACTAGAAGATAGTGTGAGTTCAGCCGGAGTTGAAGATGTAAAGGATAAAAATGATAAGCTAGGGTCTTATTCTACAAAATGTAACGTTCCAGGTTGTACTTTTTCTTCCTCTGTTTGGAAATAGTATATTAATTTAATGTAGATTTATGTCAGTCTACTTAAATGTCAGATCATTGAAAACGTCTTCGTCCCCTGAAAGTCTTGTTATGGTTAAGTTGATGGAGCTTGTCTGGTTTTGCTAATTTCTAATGCTCTTTCTTTGCATGTTTAGTTTCATTTATACGGCAGTTTTTGGTTGTTGGTATGTCTTTAGTGTTTAGTGTTTTGAATAGTGAAAAATGTTATTTAGTTTGAAATTGCAGTACTGGCAAGTATCCTTTTTCCCGCCTATATAGGGGTGTGTGTGTATCTCACATAATTTTTTTGATGACCTCCAACATTTTGTGGGAAACAGGGGAAAGTTTTAAGAAACCATGTTTAAATTGATTAAATCTTGTTTTACTTAAATTGGTGTTCTTTCACTTAGATCTGACAAAATGCTTTAAACCACCAGATACTTAGAAAATTTAGCTCTCCTCTTTAAAGTTTGCAAGGCATCTTTAGAATTTTGTTGTTGGATTTTAAAGTTGAATGATGCATGCTTTTACAATGCAAGAGCTTTATTTTGTTAAATCGTAAAAACCTTGAGTCAACAGGTATAAGTGCGTCAATTCAAGTCATAAGAGTGGCTGCTCTACTTGAATAAGGATAGGAGCTTGTTCGGATTTCTGTCTGAGGTCCCCACTTTTTGTGGGGTCTTATTTGGATAATCACCCTTTATAATATCTATGAGGTGATAAAAGGAAAGCCAGATGTAAACAAAAGATTTCTATTGCTGTTAGTGATATTACTGATATAATATCCTTTGCTACTTTTTGAATTATTCGGTAAAGTCTGATGTCTAATTATGGTCAGTAACTTTAACTTGACATTCGATTGGAATCCTATATTTTGATGAATCAACTTGGAATTAATTGCTCTGTTGGATTGGTCTCTGTCCTGCTCATACATAAGTTTGCTTTATTGCTTAGTTACCAGTCGAAAACTTGCATGTGTTCTTCTTTTTCTGGCTCCAACTTGGCCACTTAATTGTGAACAGACTAATTTACTTGATAATTTTGTTGTTATTGTTAGTTTGTAATGAGGATGATTATGATACTTAACACCTATGGCAAAAATTTGTTGGACTGGTTTAAATGGACTGCACAATCAATTAAAGGAGGAAGATTTTCGTGCATGTCATATACTGAAGAAGACAAGATTAGAAATTGAAATTTTAAAGCAGAATATGGATTATCATTGTGATCTGGAGATTATGCTGATTGTCTTTTTTCTTCTTTTTGCAACATATATTCCAGATAAAACTCAAATGTCAAGACCAAAGAACAGCTTTAGTGGCAAGCGAGGTGACAGGCGAAGTTTTAAAGTTCCTATGAAGCCGAAATTTGATTCTTTCTCCATGAAGGCAGGTTTGGCTAGCTTTAGTGTGGCCTCCGGAGGAAGCAACTTCCTTGGTATGTCATTGTTACCAACAATAGGCTTTGTTAACATACATGTATTTTTATTGTGTTATGCTATGTTAAGCATATAAGTGCAAAATGTTTGTCAAAGTATTTGGATTCAAATGTGCAAAAAGAATCTCACCAATTTGTTGGCAATGGGCTGTGCAAATATTATCTATTTTTTAAGTTTAAAGTTAGCTACTGGTCATATGTTTCAGTTTCTTACATCATTCACCTTTGGGCATCAATGTTAGGATTATATGGTCTGAAGTCAGATATTCATGATGTCACCAAGCTTGTGGAGGATTTATCATTAAATGAACTCCTTGATGGCACTTATGAGTTCCCCAGTTTAGGCCGAGAAAAGGAAAGGAAAGCATCTAACACAACTGAAAATTTTCTACATTCAGTTAAAAAGGCATGCTCCATTCTTCCTCTTCGAAGGGTTCAGTCCCAAAGTTTTACAGATATAGACAATCCTTCCCACAAGAAAATGCCCATGTACCCACCGAGCTCTGTTTCTTTAGCAGCAAGTTGCATTAATGGTGATAAAGAGGACACCTGTTCTACAGATCCTTCAGCATGCAACAAGGTATGTTTTGAGCAAAAAACTAATGTGCTGATCCTGGAAAGCAACTATAAATGAAGTTAAATTTTGATGCCTATTGATATCTATAATCTATAATATACATAAAAGTACGAATGTTAGAAGATTTTTTGATGGACTACATTTTTACTCATTATATTTCTAAATTGTCATTTTAAATATTTCTTACATAATTATTAATAGGATTTATCCAATTTGTAAATAAGAATTTTTATTGCATCAAATAACTGTCATTGACGTTTTATTATAAATATTAATAAGATTTGTCTGTTTTGTAAATAAAAATTCTAATTATAGTGGATGATTTTCATAAAAAAAAAACTTTTTAATTCTAATACTACTGAATAATTTGTATATTCATTTTACAAAATTTCAATTATTTATACTTCAAATATTGCACTTTGCAAATATTTGTATTTTATGTACACTTATTGTTTTTAATAAAATAAATAAAAAAAGTATTCACATATAACTCATGTGACAACAAATACTAGTTAAATAGAATGCTTTCTCCCTATTGACAGTAGCCTTTAGCAATTTTTATTTTCCCTTTAAATTTTTCTGTAGTTTTGCAACTTTTCAACATGTCAAGGTCATTTGACTAGGAACATTCCATGCTATGAAGTTGATTTACTGGCCCTATTGATAGCTGTGCATGCATACGACACCTTGTTATCAACTTCTCATGCCTTGAAGTATTAGGCTCAACCAAGAGGCCTTTTTGAATTTTTTTTTAAATTCCGGATAGATGCTGGACAAGTTAGTGATTAACTGTGTACTTTATCTTGTTTCAAAGAACCAGGATTCATGTGGCAAGCCTGAAATGCCTGCCAGCCCTCCAGATTTTCAGTTGTGTCAGGCCAAAGATATTCTGGAGCGCTTGGCATTGCCTCCACCAAAAGATCTGGACTCTTTACTTCTTGATGCAACCAAGCCTTCTTCATCCACAAGGAACAATTCTGATACACGTTCAGGCAGGCAAGCACCACGTCGAGCTAGCTTGCCGCCATTTCCCTCGTCACATAATTTTAATGGGCACTGTAGAACCAATTCTGATGCAGTTAAGCTTTTGTCAAATAAGAGCACATGCCAAGGCCGATGGGTAAAGATACCAAACACTTCCAGTTTGCCTGGGATTGCAACTGGTTGTTTTACCGACTTGGAGTCACTTGCTTATGATCCGAGCCTAATTCCTTCAGGTTCAAAGTTTGGTAATTCAGGAGGTGGAAGTGCCTTGTCCACTGGTAATCTTCGTTTCTGTGAGCAGGGTTCATCATCTCTTGCAACTTTTACCAAGGCTTTTAATGTTCCTCAAGGTAAGAATTATTTGTAGGGGTAGCTTCATGGTCTTTCTCTCTGTCTCCTTTTTGGGTTAATAAGGGCTTTGTCTTTTCTTGAAATTGCAGAATCTGGACTTGGGCTGGCAGATCAATGGAATGGTATGGTTTATTATTGCCTAGAGTTCTCTTCTTCCTATTTTTTTTTTCTTGTAATACACACTAAAGAGAAAATGCAGTCTTATTCTTGTTTAGTAGTTGATTTGTTTGCTAAGGGATATGCTGATCTCTTTTGAAGGAGTCTTATACTTGTTTTTCATAGTGTATCTTATTTTTTTGACATGATTCTTCTTAGAAATTCTGCCAGCCCCAGCTCACCCCGCCTCCTCCCCCACCCCCACACCCCCTTTTTTTTTTCTGGAAAAAGAACTGAATGATAGAAATCTTTCAAAGTGGAAATCAGGGCACTTATCTGGTTTTGGCTATTCAGTCTTAGATTCCTAGGACCAAGTAGCATTAGTTTGAAATCTGGGCTATGTGCTGCATCCTGCATGTGGTGTGAGATTTGTAGTTATCATTCTCGTATAGGAATATAGGCAAATTTATTGCCATATCAAATGCCTGTTTTGTCTGTCTGTTCTTAATTTTAGTTTTTGGTTGGTGATAGTTGGGCATTGTCCAAGAGTATTGGCTGCTGCTCAAACGTTGTATGACATTGCAACTAAATCCTCAAGGCAAAACCCAGATGGGATTACAAGGTGGCCGAAGAAGCCTTCACAAAAGGCCATGAAAGCTCGCAAGACAAAATCAATTGAGAAACCGGAGGAAATATATGCAACACCTTCAGTATTGGGATCTGACAAACTGTTGAGAAGTGATGCGGACCAAATAATTCCGTCAAAAAGGCCTAAGCTCTCTGTAGTTGAAAATAAGAAGGATCTCAGTCATATCAATGGTGTTAAAAAAGGACCAATAACTTGGTCTACTCCTAGATCAAGTAGATCATCGCCTGGCAAATCATTAAGAGACTCAGTTACGGAAATAAGACATTCTACTGCCAATGTAGTAAAGCCACCATGTACAATGCATCCGCCAGCAACTGTTTTTGATAGGCCTTGCAAGAGTCAACATAAGTTGCGTAAACTAATGCCAATGGACTGGAAGAGGGAGAGATAGGCTCGACTAATTAAGGTTTTTTTTTTTCCAATTTAGAAGTTGCATTGTTTTAACAATTATTGCAATCTATCAACCTCTGTGAGGTTACCGGTGTCCCCGGTTTATTTGTATATATTGTGTTGTGGGTGGTATGGAATGGCTGTGAGGCTTTGTGCAATGGGTGAAAGGGGAAATGTTACAATAGAAGCAGGGGGTTTTTAGTGTTGTAACATCAAGGATAGTTGTAGAATACAGCAGGGAATTCTTTGCCTTGTGTAGAGCAATTGATGAGGCAATAGAAAGTTCAGTTTTTCTCGCTACCATTTTTGAGTTTCATTGTCTTAAATTCAGGTTGCAGTATCAACCACTCCAGAAACATTGCAGGACAGGTTGCTGTATAACTATAATCCCACCATTTGCAAAAGATTGAAATGATGAAAATACAATTTGAGTATTTGGTTTAATGGTAAGTCCGATCAAGGTTGAGCTGGGTCCTGTCTTCACAAGTAGTAGTATAAGATTTGCAGAGTAGTCGATGGGAAAGTCTTGTAATTTTCAACTGATCGAAAAGTCTATGGCAACTTTGATTAGGCAGACGTAGCTCTTTCTAAGCTTTGCCCAGTCGATTTCTGATGGGAAAGATTTGTGAACCTGGCAATCAAGCCATGCCCTGAGCTCGAGTATACTTGACAGAGTTCAAACAAACTTGCTTTTTAAGTAAAGAAATCTGACCGAGTAAATGCTGGAGAATAGCTAGGCTTGTTAGTTCAACGAACTTAAAGAATTGTTTGCTAGAAACCCATGTCACCTTTCAGCAAAACAAGGGATCCCATGAAATATTGTTGAAATCGTGGTTCAATCTTTGAATTTCTGAGTAAATGAACTTCAATTAGAAAACTTCCAGAAGGCAATGTCTGTTCACAGACGAACGTAAAGTTGAGATAAATCAGCAAGGGAATGGAAATTAACTCCTACTACCGGATTCAGAGCACTTAAATGGCAAAAGGCTTCAATCAACTTTAATTCATTGCTTTCTCTGTTAAGTCCATATTTATGTATATTTACATGGAACTTGACGCTGTATTAGCTGATCATTACAATGGTGGCTTCGGCTTGAAAACAAGCATATGATTAGTTCTCATAAAAATAAATAAGTAAATACACCTAACAAAGAATTGGAAACCTAAGAAAACATTTGATCCAGCAAAAGAACCAGAGCCATTGCAAATCCAGGATCAAGTCCTGCCTGTACTCTCAACAGAAAAACATCTAGGCCTAAAGAAATGCCTCCAATAATTGCATCCTTTCTCCTGATCTCTGCCACCACCCTCTTTGTCTCATCTAGCACTTTACATGACCTCTGTGAATACGATCCTTCAATCATGTAAGCATACCTTTTGTCTGACGACCGGCGATATACATATGCTAGCACATTAGGGTTGGCATGTAAGATGTTAATTCTCTTCCTTACGTAGAAAATAGGCTTTCTGATGGTGTTGATGATGTACCATAGTCATCTACCTCCCCTCGATAGACGAGCCAGGTATCTACCAGTCCAAGGTTCTGCGCATTGAAATGATAAATGAAGCTCTGTTTTACAGTTCAATTCATACATACATTACCGCATTGAAATCTTTGCTAGAATTATGGAAGAAGCTAGTACCTTGCTACGTCGCATTGTCAGGATGGATTTTCCAGCGCCGTCCATAAGAATGAGTTCCTTGGGGCGTCCCATGTAGTTGTCGACTCGATAAACAAGATTTCCATCAGAATCAATCACAGTAAACCCATTACAGCTAACTATAAGTGATTTTCTCCACACTGTTAGTGATGTGCAGGGGCCTTGGGTACCCCTGGATAAGTACTCCACCTGTTCTTGATGTTCTTCATGCACTGATCTTGACAAAGATTTCAAGAAAAGAAACATTTTTCATATGTTTTCTGTGTCTTACAGCTGTTTTTGAAGCTTGAGAAGGTTAATGGGAAAGGATATTTATAGGCTACAGTCAGACCTAACCTATGGTGGTTAAGCTATTTCTTAATTTTCCTTCTGAAACATTGTGAACGAGACAACTTTTACCTAACTGTCATGCCTCTTTTTCTAGAGGCAATTTTGATGGGATTTTAAAAATAATAATAATAAAAGAATTTTATTCAATTCCATGCTGTCTATAGATTTCACATTTTCTTAACGTTGGAAAATGGGACACTCAGTGTTTTCTGCATAGTTGTTACCAAGATTCCAATCTTTTCCCTCTTCTTTCAAGTATTTGTTAGGTTCTGATTTCATTCTTCCAAGGATTCATGAGAAAGCAACGAAAATGTGAACCATAATTTCTGCGAGAAAGCGAGAAATTCAAGAAAGACTTTACTGTAGTTTTTCCCGTCGCAGTTTCCCATGATCTGTTGACGTCAAACATATGAAACAAAACAGAGAAAGGTGAGAACCTGGTTACCCCATTGGCATATTGTTTTTGTACCCAAATACACTAATGTCGTTGGAATGCTAATATAGTCGTAGTTTCTCAGAATTTCAGTCGTCCTTGGCATGGTAGGCCAGCTTGGTGCAAAGACGTTGCTCCCAAGGACGTGTTAGTCACTTGGTCTTATATTAACATTGAAGACAACAAACAGATGCGTCTAAATCCTCAGAGTGAATTGCTCTGGTCTATGTTTATGCAAAGATGCTCTTCCGTCTTTGGGTGTTCTCATTGTTCTGATCATCAAGCTAAAACTATTTCAACAGGTTTCCCCTAAACCACTCAACTTCTCAAGGTTGAAGTTCAGAGCGGTCAAGACTGCCCTGAAATATCTAGCAAAAACTATCAAACTATTAATTAAATTTCTGGAAGGTCTGTCGAATAAAATAGTACAATGCGTGCGCCAATCCATTAGTCATATTCTCTTCAAACACGTCTTTCCTCTAAGAGACCCAGAGAGACAGATCGAAATGGAACAACTGAGAAGATACCAGCATTACTGGAACAATAACACACCCTTAAACAATGAAGAGAACAATTTTTTTCCTTCAAATTTTTCTGTAAACCTTCGAAGTGTTAAATTTCTGAATTTTTATCCACCCTTTTACGATTAAACATGACAGACACAAAATAGAAGCGTTTACAGCAATGCATCATCATCTGTGTCTTTAGCCAAAGGATAATTACGGCATGATCTGTCCACTTCAAACTTCCTGCCACTGGCAGCCGACCAAGACTTTTTTGGTAGCCCGTCTAGTGTTCTTTCATCATCTCTTTCTTAAATTTAGTCCTACTTCCAACTCTTCTGATTTGGCGCTCTTGTCAATGTAATTATCCAGAGAATTGTACACATAATAATGCCCAGACAATCAGTGGACGAGAACCAACCAATCTGATCTTGACAGGCTCTTAATCTTATGTCAGAGGGTCACCAGTCTTGATATTTTCTGCAATCACAATTGACAAATGAAACTAAATTTGCACCGGATGCTACCCTTTTGGGACTTCAAGCCACTGTTTATGAAATAATCTGCCATAAGAAAGCAACGGAATCTTCCCATGTCAGTCAATTAAGACACCCAGCAGAACTTTTCTTCTAATAAACAAGGACCATTATACGGCTTAGATTTGTCTTCCTGGCTCTCAGGATTTCCATAAACATGAGCATGTTATCCTCAAACTGACACGCGGCCTTGATTCCAATATCCGATCAGACTAAATCAGGTCTGGTGGGTCCCTTTGTAGATATTATTCCCTACCAGATTTACAAAATTATGCAAGCATGCAAGTCATTCGAAGTAGGTGTCAAACCACGTGCATATTTCCTGGTTGAGCTGGTGATCTTCTTGGCAGTGACCTTCACCAGGTTTTCTGTTCGGAGAAATTCATTTGATTTTAAAATGTAAGCAGCAATTATACCTACTATATATAGAAAGCAAGTTCCTTTCCCCCACCCAGAGGCAGAGACGTAATGCAGAAGGAACCTAAGCTCTTCATCTTAGAGTCAACAAGGTTGGATAGGGGAACAGAATCAATGGTGAAGTTTCACTCTGGGCCTGTCTGTCGGCTTTGCAGTTCTCAAAGCCCAAAACCTTGGATCAGTCTACGTTATTATTCGTCTAACCAATCTTGGGGATGGTTGTGCCCAGTGGGCTCATCCAAGGTTTATAGCCCAACCCAGTAGTGACTCACCAAACCCAAGCTGATAAACTTTACTTTTTGGTAGTGATTTTTGTGGTGATGCAAGTTTTCATTTTCTTCTTTTTTCTTGTTAAATATTTTTTGCCGATGAATAGCTCAAGTCAATTGTCAAATGTCAATATACTGGCTGGCCAAACAAGTAAAAGATCAATATACTGAAAACGTGTTATGGAAATTTGACTTTCATCAGAAATAAAAGTTTTCCTTTGATAGGAACTAGGAAGGAGACAAAATATTGGGATGTGTTTTTTTATCTGTTTGCATCACACACAAACCTCTCTTTTGCTGTCCTAATCATCTAATTTTCAGATTGAATTTTATTACCAAAACATAGAAATCGAGTTTTCGTAAATATCTGACTCGATTATTTAAAATGCGAGTATCTTATATTTGAGTTTAAAATAAATATGGATAATAAATTTATTGTTTGTGACGGATTCAGATAAGATATTGAGTATTACAAATGCAATGAAAACAACACTACAATTAAGAAGAAATGAAAAACGAAATTGAGAGATAAGAGTCAAATTTTTTTGTATACTTTTTTGCTCCCATGAAATAATACATTTCATTAACTATAATGGAAGATAACGTTCTATTATTTTTATATACCTCAATCTCAATCATCTAAAAAATTCTTGGGTGAATAGCTTATTGTCGTAGTAGCTGCAAAAGAATTAAAAGACAAAAACTTCACTAGAAGTCTAAAACCCTAATTTCAATTCTTCTTTTTCTTTGGTACCTTCATTTCTTTTATAAAGCAAAGTGGCAAAGTCTATCAACGAGTGGGACTAGTCTACTCAAACTGATTAAGCCTACGTTGAAACATGCCCTCGTTTTCACACATCAAGACTCTATAACTGGAAACAACAAGCATTAATTAAGCATTCTTTGAGTGGGATTCTCCCCCCTTCTTTTTCCAATTCAATGTTCATAGGCTGTCTGCCATGGAAATTCATGAGGCCAAACATGAAACACTTGTCTGTATTTCCAGGAATTTTCCAAGTCATTACCATTAGTTTTACCGTATTTTGGACCCCAAAAAAAGCCTAACTCGGCGCACATAATCTGCTCTCTATTCCCATTTATCCTAAAAGCTATATTAATAATGAATTAGTGCTTCTTTTCTTTCTGCCTTTAGATAACATCTATACACACACACACACACTAACTTCTAGTGGGGTTTCATGCTTTTTGTTGGGATTAATGGATGTCAATTTTCACTCTTAATGATTGATTCCGAGCAGCAAGCTACATGTGTTAACTCAATAATGCAGATGGGATTTCATCATGATCAGCGGGAAGACCCCATGGGCCCTGGCCACCTGAGAAGTATAGCAATAGATTATGTATAGTATTCTTTCTCTGTATGTAACATGAAGAAAGCTGGCTAATGATGGTCAAGATTGCCTCTAAACATGGGCATGTGGAGTCAACTCTTATATGCATCAAAAGACACTAGTGGGATGACTTTGTCAAGAAGAAAACCTTAGAAAGAATTAACATTTTCTGGGGACCTCTTTGAGTTGCATGTACAGAAAACTCCATTATGCAGCAGGAAGCAACAGGCTTTTGCAGATATAAAAAATTCCATAAGGAACTAATATGCCTTAATTAATTATGAATCTTTCTGTTCCACATGTTCTTTATACTGATTAGAAAAAACAGTGACAAAAGTTGAGGGATCTATGCTCCTCCCATGGGCATGAAGATAGTGTGAAACTTTTAGTAAAAGAAAATGGAGTATAGATTTTGTAAGAACATCATGGTAGGCAAAATCCACTATAGACATGAGGTCTGGGTCGTGCAATTAATTTCAATTTGCAATGATCATATATATATATATATATATATATATGTATACACCAACAGCACTTTGTTTATTAGCTTTTCTCCACGTTTCAGTATCTAGAAAAGATGAAACAGACAGTTCGGATCAGAAAAATTTGTTAATTTATCTAATAATAAATGGAAAGTACAGAGGAAGTCATCATAACAGTAGTGAAAATTTAACATGGTAAGCCTAACTTTTCTTACATATATACAAATGCTTAGTTATATATGTTTGTACACTGAAATTCACTAGTCAATAAGTCAAATAGATTGTGTTATATATATATATATATATAGTAAAAATCACTCTATTAATAAAAATAGAGATAGATAATTGTGTAATAAGAAAATTTTAAAATAAAAATAAAAATTTATTTAAAACTCACAACAACAGATTAACCAATTATCAATGTCATAACCGATTGACATTGAACACAAATTTTTAAAAAGTTATTGACCAAATCATTAACAACTTGATGAATGCGTTGATTTTGTCACTTTCCTAACTTAGATGTTAAGTTTTTAATATGCAAAACATAATTTCTCAATATCCATGAATTATTGTGGGATTTAAAACCTAGTAAACCGTATTTAAAGAATCACTTTCAATTATTAAATAGTGTTTTATATATAAATATATGAGATTTTTAATCACTCATTTATTTAAAAGTGAGATTAATACAAAAGAAAATCATATAAAAGAAACAATATTTATCGTAATATAACGATTACATCTTTATATATATATTAATAAATTCCTATACTTGATCATCAAAACTTAATTGTATCTAATCCAAATCGATTAATTCTCAATTAAAAATATAAAAAGAAAAGAAAAGAAAAAGATTGAAGTACGTGTTCCGTAAATGTTAGTACCTTTGAAATTTCCCTAATATTTGTGTGAAGAATTTCTATGCATCATCAGGTCATAACTGCTCAACGAAGTACATACATCAATGAGCTAAGCTGGATAGATATTATGCAGTGGCATTGAAACTGGCCTCTTGGAGCAAAAGTCCTTACCTACTCAACACGTCATTTGCCAGCATAAATGCTTTCAGTTTTGGGCAAGAGAAGAGATTGAATGGACTCTGAGCGGTCTTTTTACGTAGCGTCATTGACGAACAAAGTGAAAAAGGTCCTAGTCAATATGAACAATTTCATTTTGAATTACAGCTAACTCTACCAACCGCTTTCAATTGACCAACAAAGAAAAGATACATGCGTAACTGGTGAGATAAGGACGGCTAAATATAAACGAACCAGTAGATTTTAATTCCATGATTCTTTCCTTGAGAGGGATGGGATATTCTTCTGTTTCCCTGTCATTTATTCAACCTGGGCTTATGCTATTCTAAATTTATATATAATTTATGGTATTGATTTCTATGTATGGGGCAGTGGCAGATGCATTTGCAAATTTCTTCAGTGATTAAGGGTTTTGATGAACTTTTTTGTTTCCTCTTTGATTGGTTTGCTTCATAGGCATACCTTGAAGAAAATTAAAGAAGACAGTGACTTTTAATTTACCTGTGTATCTCTCTTAAAAGCCAGAATTATCTTCCATGAATTCACATTGCATATCCTTAATCAGGAACAAAAGAAGAATCAGACTGAATTTAAAACATGGGCTGCTTTTCCACTCAAAGCAAAGCTCATCAGCATTCAGGTCAGCAGTTTGTGCATTTTCTCTGCTTTAACTTTGCAAAAACGTTAACCTGGTTAGCTTCCGGTAGATTAGCCAACTAAAGAGATAATGGATGATGCTACGGAAAAGAAAAACTTGCACACACTAATAATTAATGACCACAAGAACCAAGAATGGGCTTTGGAAAAAAGGGGTTAATTCTAAAAAAGGGGGTTGGTGGGCAATTGACTTGGGGGGAATGGGAGAGATTCCTGGTGGACCCAAGCCATCATCTGTGGGCTTTTATACGAAATAAAGGATCTTCTAGAACCCCTTCTTCCCCTCCGAAGAAAGCAAAGCAATAACAACATTGTTTGTTTTTATATGCTTAGCATCGTCTGCATGATTCCCCAACTCTGTCGATTCTTCTCTTCATCTTTTTGAGCCACAAAAATTGAACCAGCCCGACGTTTTTGAAT